CGAACACGCTCAATTGACTTACAGAAAAGGGAAAATCAGTGAATGAGTCATCGCTCCAGCAAAGTCAACACTTGACTTATGAATGTGGATTCTGTGACTATGTGAATGCATGAAGCCCACCCGCCTCCCCAGCACCTTCAGATTCAGAGGTACAGCGAGGCATGGATCTGTACATGAAGTCAGCATACATCTGCTTGTGCGATCATCGTCGCCATCATCATTTACATCTGCATCAGTGTTGTCGTCGTCACCACCACCGCCACCACCGCCACCACCACTGCCACGAGGATGGGAAGTAACAGGAACCGATTGTCCGTAACAGTGGGGTGTAACAAGAACTGGCCCCAATTCCGTAACAGGAACTGGCCGGTTTCCGTAACAGGGCCGCTGGGCCCTGCGTAACGGGAACCAGCGTTGGGTTCGGAAAACCGAGGCATGTGTTCAGACGGGCTAAACCTTTCTTCTTCGGACTCTGCCAAAGGGATACCGATTTTCGCTTCCCCTTCTAGATGCATTTTGTCGCGCATTTCCGGCTTCCTACCATCCTTAAACCAAGCCACAGCCAGAAGTACAAATGTGGAAATTACCAACCTCAAATTCTCATTTCGAAGCAACGTCAGACACGTGATCTTCAGGGTTTAAGGTTTAAGGTTCAAGGTTTTCCGATCCAACCAAGTTTTTGGGTTTAGAAGATGTAATTCTATAAAACGGGGACCAACATATTGTTGTCCCGACTTGGGCAGGGGCTCGCGATTCTGCCTTACTTAGAAGGTCAAGCGGACTAGATAAGTGTACTTATAACCCAAAAAACCATGGAACAGCCTCTGTTACCTGTTATCCCTATAATGAAAAAGTCCCCTTGATCCAGAACCCACAACTCTAAACCCTGACTCTTAGACCCTAAAACCTGACCCTTGGAGGGTGAAGATCCAAAGCTCTGGCTTGGAGTTTAGGGTGTAGTTTAGGGTTATAGGGTTTAGGTAGTAGTTACCAGCATACCTTGGAGTAGTGGTTGCGGTTTCGGTTTCGGCTGCCTGGCGGCCTGGTTTCGGTTATGTTTTGGCTGCGGTTTCTGTGACGGTCCCGGCTGATTCCCGTTCCGAGTCCGGGAAACTTGTTCAGGTTCAGCTCAAAATGGTCCGCACCCCCACCCTCACCACCACCGCCACCACCACCGCTACCGCCACCACCGCCACCGCCACCACCGCCACCGCTGCCAACACTCGTGCCAGCATGATGTAAGCTTTTAAGTTCCAGGTCATGGGCTTGGTCACCTTGCATCAGAATAAAGCAGATCAAGAAGATTGTTCTTGAACCAATGCTGTTCATGCCTGATGAGTGTGGACTTCTCCGACTCAGGTGGCACTGCACGAGGATCATCTGTATGTTCAGCAGATCCTGTACATATATAGCAGTGATTGCACGATACACCCTGCTGTCAGAGATCTGCCGACTTCACAGAAGCCTGAGGCAGCCCCCAAGAAACTAATTGCACACCTCAGTATTTACAGGCTTGCCGCTTGCCCAAGACAAATGAAAGTTTACGATCTCCCCTTCAATGCAACCCTGACGCAGCACTTGAGGAAATTGTCAAAGCTGATAGAAGAACAGGTTTGTGGTGCAGCTTCGGGCAGCTTCCTCCAGCGTGGCACGACCGATGGTACGCTGGAGCGGCTGATGGCAGGCAAGGGTTTCGGGGGCACGTCAAGTCTGTCTCAGCTGATGCCCCGCGCTTGTGAATCTTATCCATGGAGCTATTGGGGTCAGTTCTGAGGCAGGGTTTGAGTGGATTGAGCAACTAGGGCATGCATACGTGGTGCAAGCATCTTGGTCCTGGAAGACTCCTCTGGTTGAGGTTCAGGTGAAGAGTCTGCTGCTTGGGTCGTTCTGGACTCGATGACGCTTGCCTGCAGCAGGTGTGTGAAGCTTCCGCACTCGAGAGAAGACTTCAGATCTCATGAGAAGTGTTGCCCAACTTGTTGCACAAGGGCAGCGGCAGCTGCGGTGACGCTACCTTCTCTCCAGAGCAGGCTGAGGAAGGGATCGTACGTTTGAAGCGATGTGGGTCGACATTGAATTTCACTTCGACGACCCTGACCTTGTGCCACTCAGAGCTTGGGTGTTCGCAGATGGTGAGTTCCATGATGCTGCACTTGTAAGTCTCGTAAGAGCTAGTTGGATATGAAAGGGGAGATTGAGCTCACGGCCAGGATCCGTGAGTTCCTCTTCGCGGGTCCAGGGCTCCGCTGGTTTGGTGACGAACCTGGGGCCTTTGGTGCGCCAGGCCGACCTTCCTTCCGTGTGAGCTCAGGTATGCCTCTTGTGACCCGTTGCCAGGTGCCAGAGCTGTGTAGCGAGTAAGCCCGCTGCAATGCAAAGCTTGCTGTCACATGATTTTTCCCGCCAGGCTTAATGCTTCGCAGCTGGCAGGATTCTTTCAACGAGGCCGGCTTTGCGCTTACCGGCTTTGTTGCCGATTGCGCTTGCAAGGCGGCACCACGGCTGCGAATGGTCCGCGTTGCCCAGAACTCAACGGGCACAAAGCTGGAAACGGAGATGAAAAAGTGTCGAGGCCTGGAGGCTGCAGGAAAACGGCACAGGGGCACGACATGAGGCAACTCTTTTTCGCTTCACCTTTTGCAGGCTCCTGGATGGTGCAATACTTCCAGAGAGGCCTTGAGTGTGTTGCAGTGCAAGCCGCCAAAGCATGTCTGCTACGTAGCACTGGATGTAGCGCAGAAGAGATTGTAGTATGAATAGCCGCTGTGGTATAAGCCACGTGCACTTCAATCACATCCGCCGCTCAAAGTTGCTGGCCCAGCCTGCGGCTGCCCTGTCCAGCCCCCTTCATGGAGAAGATCCAGACAGAAATGCTGGCGCCGATGGCATACAAGCTGGCCACAAGTAGAAGTCTTGTCGCCACTTCCATCGTTCTAGGCGCGGTCCGAAATGCCCTTGCAAGAGAGCACCTAGTTCAATCCTTATGGCGCAGTTTTTGGAAGGCATCCTGAAGCTCGTGTTTCCGCAGGCAAAATGGGAACGTTGTGAAACCGCCCTCCAGTACAAGTAGCCAAAGTCACTAGAGCTCGAGAAAGTTTGAGGTATTCACTCTGCATGAATTTTTCAAGGCAGCGATAAAAGTCTCAGGACGAGGATTCATTGCTTCTCGCGGCCGCACTGCTCGGCTCTGCGGACAGCTGCGCATTCGTGTCGCTGACAGATGGCGAGGAGGGTTTCCAGGCTTTTCCGTGGAAAGATGAGAAGAGAACTATGCAGGCGAAAGACCTTGACTTTGCTTGCCTTGCAGGTCTCACCAGAATTATGTCGACAAGAGCGGCGTGAGGCCGGTCTGAGGGCATTTGCAACAGACTACACGTGCAGACATCTGCATTCTGATGCGACGCTTGCAAATAGGAGCCACCGGACAAGCTCTACGTCAAGCTGCAGGAAGCGGCCACCTGGACGTGTTTGAGGCGGGGGGGGTGAGCCTGACTCTGCCAAAAAACTAGTGCCAGGACACAAGTTCCATCAGCCGTGTCGTGGATACCCTCTGCGATGTTGCCCCGCCCAAAGTGGCGGAGGAGCTTTGAGAAGAAAGATCACCATGCTCAGTCGGCTCAGCCGTCCAATCTGCAGAGGCCATTTCTTCCTATAGTTACCTCACGAACCACTGACATTAAACACCGCCCGGGATAAAAGTCGTGAATATCCTAGAGCTATTTGAAATATGAGTTTGTAGGGCGGTCGTGATTCCCATCCCAGGCTTTGGTGCATCGCAGCGAAGTGTGGACAGCGACAGGCCAGGCCCTGGTGGCCACTTTTGTGGCCCGTGGCCAACCCTCTGGAAGACAAGCGATAGATGCTTCATGCTCAGTCTGTGGAGCTTGAGAAAGGTGACCCCTCAGAGAATATTCCAGAACAACATGTTGCCATAACTTGCCATCTCACCGCGCTTTTTTTCGGCAGGCGCAAGCCGTCGTCATCACCGCCAACTTCGCCAACCAGGCCTCAAAGACTCAAACATGTTCTGCCTGCAACTCGCACTCCGGGTCGTCCGGATGGTGGCCCTGCGCAATGGCTCTGAGCAGGTCGCAGCTCGCTTTGTGGGAAAGCCAGAATGACGAAGAGTTCTCGGAGGCAGAGGAGTTGCCAGCTTAGGGGAAGGCTAAACCCGAATCAGGACATGAAAGCCTGGGTCCGGGAGCCCTGCCATGGAACAGGCGCTGAAAGCAGTCCGACTCTGGTGGCAGCCGGTTGAGGCCTGCGCAGTGATAAGCGAACAGTCACAATTTGTGAAAGCCAGTGAGGTCGTGATTGACAATGGTTGGGTAGCTGCATCAGATGCACACTGCGGTTCGAAATTGTCGCTTATGTTTTGCGGGTACTGCAACATGGCAGGCATCAATCCGCAGCCGTCGTGTGGATCTCTTGCAGGCGCAGTCCCCAATCAAGTGTTAATGTTTCGACTGAGTCTCAGCGCATTAAATAGACATCTTCTCTGCACAGGGCGCTCTGAAGGAGGCCCATGGCGAAAGCTACCTCAGGACTGCGAAATCTTGATCTATCTCCGTGCAAGCAGAAGCAAGTCCCCGATTTTTTGGATTCGCAAGTAGAAATGCTCTGTTGCAGCTATCTCGGGTGCGGGTTCAGGACGGTCTACGCGGTAAGGCGCAGTGCTAGCCAGATGCTCAGTAGCACATTGGATGCTGCTGTAGCCCTGGATGAGCTGGGCAGACTTGGCTAAGCTTCCTGCTAGTAGCCCCTGCGGCGTGTGAACCATATGCTGAGGTCTTGATCCCACCCACAGACACGCTGTTGAGCCTCTTGGTGGCAACCTGTGGGTGGGATGTTGTGGTTGGAGACATGCTGCTGCGTAGATCTACGGAAAAGTCATTCAGCGCTGAGGATGGAGATGGCTGCTCGTCTTGCCAGCTCCCTGGGCATAAGACACAGGGATGCTTTAAGCAGAAGCTTGAGGGGTCGTTGCGTGAAAGCTTTAGGTGAAGGCCAGGGCGGTACTGGGCAAATGGCAAGCCGCAGTCTTAGTATACAGCTAGGGCAGCCATCACAGGAGCGGCCAGCAGGTCACTTCTGAGCACTTTGGTGTGTCTGAATCACACCACCTAGTCGATGCGGTTTGAAGAGAGGGCGCAACCAAGGCTGGAGTGGAGGAGATCAAGAAAGCTCACCGTGCGAGAGACGTGCTTCGCCAAAGTTTGTACATTGCAGGAAGTGTGCTGTGCACCAGCTGGCAAGGTCGCTGGGCTGGCGCAGGCTTTGGCCCGCTTCCAGCACTCTGCGGAGGACGCCGAGGCAAAACGATAGTGATGCCTCCTTCATGACCTTCCCTTATCTTCAATGGTCTAGCGGTGTCATTTGCAGAAGCGCCGGTAGTACGCGGGCTCTCGGATTGTGCAATAAGCTGGGGTCTGTGAGCAACCCCTGCACCAACCCTTTCACGTAGCTGGACTTGCAGCCAGGTTTCAGGTGCTCGCCAAGACCTCGAACGTTGGCGCCGGCTGGTCTGGCACTCAGACGGAGGAGATGACACTTTTCTCGGCGCAGGCCAGCCAGCCAAACATGCAGCGAGCTTCAGTCGTTTCTCAGGAAATCCAATGCAAAAGCACCTTCCATAGCCGAACACCACCTAGCAAATCCTCAACCCTCAACACTCTCAGACAACAATCCCAACTTATTTTCTACAACCAGCTACTGCCAGAATGCTTACAAAGATCCTTCAGCCTTGCGCATATCATCAAACAAAAGTCGCTAAACAATCCTGTGTCTCATCCCTGCCTTCTCTTGTTTGCACTAGTATGAAAATGTGCCAAGTAAGCCCAGCCTTGAGCCTTTCCCCATACTTGCAAACATTCCCTTGCTAGACTGGCGAGTGGCATGCCTGACGCACATGTACTTTCACTTTCGCTCGTGCATGACCCCCCCTTTGCCGTCACAGGCCGCTAACGTCTAAGCACCGTCTGCAACGCCAGAACGTTTGAAGAAAACAGGGCAACCATCGTCAGATCAGAACGTGCAGAAGGCATGTGCCTTTCATGCTTGAGCCAGAGCACGCAGATCAGTCCTTAATTTTCAACTGACCGCCGGCAACCACACATCGCCAGTGCCAACTGCTTTTTGGGCTGTGCTGGTGTCTGAAACTGTCCAGTGGTGTTGTAAAGTTAGTTTCGGACAATCATGACCCCTGCCCAGGATCTGACCTACAATTACGCTGCAAGTGTGCTTACTGGTGATGAATGTCATGCACATGTTGAAAGTGCACTCTAGATACTCTAGCGAGCGTTCCATGCCTCCACAGTTGAATAGAAGCAGTGGCTGACATGTCGGTCGCCCTTGACGTCACTTGACACCAGGCTGAGGAGCTACCAAAGCTTCTGAAGGACCTTTCTTTGACATGACGCGAAGAGATAAACATGTGCAAGACTTCGTGATGATGTTCCGATAGATTGCAAGCTACACGGCAAGCTTCCTTTTTCGAGAAGTTCTCAAATTTCTGGAGAGCTTTTTTTGTGTGCTTTGATCTTGTAGGATGCTTTGGAGCGCCGGGACGTGCCAAAACTGCGCGAGGCAGGGCAGCTGGCAGCTCTCAGGGGCGCCATGGGGCGTCTTGTGTGGTTCCTTGTTTTTCTTGCAATATGCGTAGCTAAATAGCCAGAGCTGCACAAAAGTGGTCAATGTTTGTTGGTGTGCCGGATGTCCTTTGCGAACTTGATAGGCCATGAGCGACATGAGCAAGGACGGCCCAAAAAACATCGATGGAGCCGAAGAGGCAAAAAAGATGATCAAGAGGCGCCCCAGTTGTCAAGAGGCTCATTTAGGCCATCTTCCAGTCCTGGCCAGGTACCAGATCAGAGCCCGTGCGTTGGACCATGCAGTCGGGGAAAGGAAGATCTCCTCCATCCAGGACTGTGGCACTTGGATGCCGTTCTAAGTCCCCGCTTGTCGTAGCAAAACTAAGGCGGCTGCATGAGGGCTTTGCAAGGGGTTGCAAAAACCCACGCGCATGCAAGCGCACAAGGGCGAGCGCCAGAACAGATAGTTCCTCATACATATTGATTATGCATATCATCTGGCATATATGTCTACGCTGTTGAAGTGCATGCTTATGCCCACGCAAGAGGGTGCAAGGGTGGGCGCAAGGAAGCCTTAACGCTGAGAGGTCGATGCTACTGCTAGAATTTGGAACAGAATCCATTTGAGTACTATGCCTTTAAAGCTTGCAGGTGCTTGGTGTTGTTATGGATTAATATAAATTATGCAGCTGTTGAGCATGTTCTTTTCAGGGTGGCTGGATCTTGTTGGCTCATGTGTAGACTGCCGGAACCTGTCGGCCTTACCTGCTAACTTGAACACATCGATGCACGTTTAAACCTTTCTGCGGCTTCTACTGAACATTTTGTGTACAGCAGCATTGCCAGATGCGGATGCAACAACGCTCCTGAGCCGGGCAGGCTGCGTTGGCCACGTGGGACTTCAGCCGCGATGACGTGCATGCTGTCAAGGCAGGCCTTTGGATCCAGTGACGGTCAGTTTTCTGTTCTTGGCAGGCGCGCCAGGCCATTGCACGACGTGACCGTCAAAAGCAGAAGTTACAAGCGGCTGCCCGGGCACCAGCATGAGATGAGGAAAGCTCCTCTCATGATGCGTGTCAGAAGCGAAGAATTCTGTGCTGAGGTCCAGCTGAAAGACGGGCCGCATCTGGCAAAGGTCCATGCCAAAGAGGAATTGTGCTAAAGCACTCTCTTGAGCCTCTGCAGGTCACCCAGGAGTGGGAGTTTGATCGCAATGATGAGGACAGAATTCTGCAAAGACCATGGCTAACAATCTCAGCTAGGTTGATGTGGTTTCCGCCCCAGGCGGGAATGAAGACAACAGCTGCAGGACTTCCAGCAAGCCATGGAGGCATTGAACCGATACGATAGGTTGGTGGAAGATGTCGAGAGGCCTGCTTCCTGGTTTTGAATGGCTCGTGCTGCCAGCAAAGGTGTCAAAACCGACGGTCACTGCTCTTGATATTGCTTGACCGTATTTGGCGCAAAAGACGCAGGCTGATGGGACCGCCGATGGACATTGTTGCCCTTGCGTGATGCTGGCCTTGATTGGCTTGAGAAGGGCAGCAAACGACTCACGCAATTCTGCTTTGGCAGTAAAGCAGGCCAAAATGCTGCAACACCTTGAAGTGACACCACGCTGCAGCTTCTCGCATCTGTTGCCAGAAATGTCCTGGACAACTGGGAGTGGACCAAAGGTGCGCGTATTCGTAATGTCTCAGGGCTTTAGCCAAGGGAACCAAGGGAATCTTGAGTCCGCCAACAAGTTCAGGTGACACCTCTTTAGCGCCGGCTGGATTCTTGTTTTTCAAATCATGTCCTGACTGCCTGAGATGACCCCGTTCATCTAGCTACCGTCAAGAAGATCTCGGAGCATGAGAACGCTGGGAGCTTACAGCGTCAGGTTATGTCAAGTTCCAGCAGCAGGAGAGCAGGCGTGAGCTGTTTGGCATGAATCTGAGGCCGCCCGCAACGCTTTGCAAGCCAAGGAGAAAGTAACATTATGCTGCGGCGACAGCTTACTTCTTCTGTGTGCCATGCAGAAGGGGGGAACGAGATGTATTTGCGCAGGATGGCTGGAAACTCCAACGAGTTCACAGCCCAGTCGAACGCAGAACACTAGGTAACTTGTTCCGGATATCGCCCTGAGCCTTGGATCTTGCAGCAGTAGAGTGTCATTTGGCAAACGCATCGTGTTCAACGTGCATTTAGCATGTACAAGGGACCTTGTAACCCGACACTTGCATGATGCAGTGCGCAAATGAACTGTGTCCAAGTAGGACTTCCTGAGCTGACACCAACATGTGAGAGAGAGAGTCCAGTTGTGTTGTTGCAAGTGCTGTCCGCCGAGATTTGGCAGTTCAATGATGTCAAGAAGAAAGGACATGGGATATGTGTCCACGCAGCGCTAAAGTGTCAAGAGTGAGATGTTCAGGGTTTTCTAGTTCTGGGATTCGTTTTTTTGCAGGGTGGTCTCCACTATGAATCGATGATTGAGCCAGGTCTCTGAGTCAAGAGGCATTGCAGAAGGAACTGTGCTGTTTCTAGGGTGTTTGTTGGAACATGCTTGAGCGCTTTGTGCATCCGATGCGGACGCAGATTCCCAATCCAAGTTTGCCGACTGCACTCGCCTCGTGACTCACAACTCTTGCCACTCTGGATCACAAGGGACTGATTGACTGCACGGGCTTTGAGAATAATCACGAAGGCCTTCTCCTACCCGTTTTGCCAAAGTTACTGAACATGATATTCCCTCATGCCACTCTGAGTATCAGGGAATCTCGAACAATCTTGCTTCACCTGTCAAGCAAAGGGCCATGGGTGCGACGTGTTGCTGCCTCGGGCGCCCAGAGCCCCTTGACTCTTGGGGTCATGAGCAGCCGCCACCAGCAGCAGTCTCCCCGCTGCCAAAGGCTACCGCAGAAGGCGCCCCGGCGTCGGAAGTGGTTGCTAATGACTCAGCGATGAAGAAGAGGAGGTGTATTTCGATCTCCGCACCTCGAGGACGTTCCTGCAGTATCGCAAGGCATGCATGCGCGACAGGAGGGGGGCCAAAAGTGCACCACGTCCGAAGCTTCAGCGCATGTTGGAAGACGAGGACGATGGACAGCAAGGATGTGACAAGCCAGAGGAGTGCTTGGCAGGCGGGGGGTTCAGAGTTGCAGGAGAGGAGGAGGAAGAAGAGGAGGAAGACAATGAGCGGCATCAGGCCGAGGCTCTTTTTCATTCCCACGACCACCCGTTCGAGCCGCCGCCTTTCACTGTTGACATGGTACAGGGCATGACAAGGGCCAGGCGGCTCAGGATTTGGCGTGCTGTCCCGCCATTGCCTCACAACTGTGCGGGGACCTGCACGTCCTGTTGCTCTTTGGAGAACTTAGCCTGGAAGGAAAAAAACATGCAACACGAGTTGCCTGAACGACTCCCTCGGCAGGCCCGCGCCTGCAAGTCATTGGAGGTCCTTCCGACGATCCTCGAGAAAACGCTGCAACGTAGCTCATCTGAGCTTGTCATGAGTTGTTGTACCTTGGAATGGAACGAGCCCACATAGCGCTGTTCTAATATTCTTTTTGAATGGTCAGAGCTTGCGCTTTGCCGTTTCCATTCTGTGGGGGTATCCCGCTAAGTTGCTCGGGTTTTGAACTTGCTGCAGGCGGTAGCCTTCTCGTTTCAAGATCCACGCGGTTTAGGGTTTAGGGCTTCATTCCCACGGTCATCTTTTTTGAACCGCCTGACACGTAAGATGGTCTTGGTACATGTCCAAGTAGGAGTCCGGATACCGTTTGACACTACTCCAGCCAAATTTGCTGTAGCCGATGCAGCTTGACAGATCAAGGCAGCAGTCACGAGGCTATCTGAATTGGGATAGGGAAATGGCTTGGCAAAGTGGTTTAAAGCGATGCACCAAGCCTTTCTACTGTATATGAGCTGTAGTCTAAACTCCTTAAAGGGGGTTATATAGGGGATTATATTGGGGAGTATTATAGGGGTTATTAAGGGGGATACTAGGAGTTTAGACTATAGCTCATATTGGTGCTCATGAACGACGTACCGACGTTTTCGTATGAAGGTCTGGTATGAGCGGAACAGAACCGTGTCCAAATCTGTTTGCAAATGCTCAAGGTATGAGACAAGATGTTCTATTGATATACCCCATCTTCAACCCTTGATCCTAGTACTGACATGGGCATGTAAGGCGACCAAACTGAACAACTTTGAACAGCTCCAGATCATATGAGCTTGTTTCACGATTGCAGATGCCTCCTCGTTTCAAGTTCCTGGTGGCAAGTTGTTTCACCGTCCGAGTCGCTGCAAATTTCAAGACAAATCTGCGAAAGGTTTTGCCTGGAGTTGCTGAGCAGCCATTTCTTAAACAACATGGGAATGTTGACGTGCAGAATCTTCTGACGCTTTACAATGCCTTTGGGCATGGAATGTGCTGCTCAGAATCCTTACAATATTCGCAAAGACATTTCTCACGACTCCTTCCACACTAAGGGTTCCTGTGCAACTTTCCTCGTTTTTCCTCCAAAGCTGAAACATCAAAGGGGCCAACTGCAAAGCCTAGAGGAGGAACAAGTAGCATAAGTCATCCTGTATCCGCGCTTCAAGGTTTTGATGTTGGGAGCAAGCCCACAAAAGAAGGACAACTGCAGGCTTCATCTGGAGTATAGACCACACTGGTAAATCCTTGCTTGCTTGGTGGTGTCAATATAAATAGCGTGCTTAGACCACATGTGCGGGCTAAGCTTATCCAAGTTGGTAGATAAAAACCAAACGTTGGGATTCATAGTTGAACTCAGAACTTTTTTTTTTTTTTTTTTTT